GTATAGTGTCAAAACAGAATACTAGACAACAGAAATTTAATTTTTTACTTTTGTTTCACAACATAGGTATGTGTTCTTTGGGCCAGGTAAAGGAGGAGTAGAGGCATACCTGTGTTAGGATTACAGAAAATACTTGCATGGCCCTGTGTCTGAGAAATTATTTCTTCAGAAGAAACCTACTGACCTCATTGTTGCAGACTGAGTGCTAGCATTTGGCTTATCAAGTGTCTGGTTGCCTTCTGTCTTCTGTAAGTGGAAGGATTCTGACTTTGTCTTTGCTGCTCCATTTCAAAATCTTGTTTTCTTAATATGTGATATACTACAAGACAAATGATAAGTTAACATTAGTGTCCAGAGTTATGATGAAATAGCAAATGGTAAATGTCGTATTATTTTGTACCTTCAGTAGTTTACTGATGCTGTCTTGCTCTAGTGGATACTGTCTGAAAGGTTATATGCAATACTTCTACAAATGGATGATAATATGAAAAAAATGGAGATAGAAGAGGTAAAGATTTTGATGTTTGGTTTTAAGTTTCACTGGACACAAGAAAGTCTCCTCTGTATCCTGAAATGGGGGAATTGAGTCACATTTTACCTAGCAGTGATCACTTACAAATGTCAAGGCAGAAAGCAGACCAGTTTTCATTAAAAGGTGAGAAAAACAGGGACTGTAAGAGGAGGTTTTTTATCACTATTTTATTCCTAGAGAATTTACTTTTCTAGATAGTAAGGTCACGTGGTAGACAAGAAGTAGTTGACATCTGTAAAAAAAGAAGGCCAGAACTTTATGTAGGTTTTATACATGGTGTACAGCTGCTTGAGCTGTGAACTTGGTAGCTGTAAGCAATGGTTAAGATTAAAGCTGCTCTCTCCGTCTCTTTGTGTTGACTTTTAAGAGTGAAAAAGACTTTTTCTGCTTTTTCTGTCTGTATTCATCACTCTGTCTGTTGATAAATACTGGCTTACTCTCTTAGATCAGGAGAGAGATGTCAAGTTATTCTGATAGCCAATCTGATGTACATACATATTCTGAGAGAATAAATAGCCTCTTTGTAGAATAAAGAGTCGTTCAGTCTCAAAGTATCCTACTGGGGAATTTTTACCTTTTATGTAGATGGGGACATGAAGAGGAAGGCTTCCATACCTAAATTTTCAAATTAATCTAAATGCTTGTTAGGTATGAAAATGAGAAGTGATGTGTCAGGCCCAGTAGAGTCTGAAGAAAATTTGCCATTAATTGTAGCGGTCCAGTGTCCTTACACTACATCTTTCTATTCTTTCACTACTTGTATCATTATTATTATTCTCTCTTTTGTATACATAGAGACATTACTTTGTTAGCCTCTTATTGCTATAAGGAATGTTTAATACTTAATTCAGTGTTTGAGTAAAAACTAAAACTTTTATTAAATCTTTTATTCCCTATTAATATCTTGCAGTTTCTCTATTAATTTTTCCTTTTGCATGTCATATCTAATATCGGGTAGGGTTTTCTGTCTGTTTTGTTTGAGGATATATGATGCTTATGCTCATGTCTCTTCTAACTTAGGCAGAAGTGGCCTTTTGGAAGGTTAGTATTGCAGTTTATATTGACTTTACCATTTCAGTAATGTCTAATTCAATTAATTGAGCAACTGTGATTTAGGGGGCGTTTACGAACTACATTAGCTTTTGCTTCTTCCCCCCCCCCCCCTCAAACAGGTATAAATAAAAGGTTCTCAATTGTGTCTGTTTTTCTTTAGTTGATAGAAATATCTTTCTTTCTATTTATTTATTTATTTTCTGAGAAGTGGGCATAAATAACTTTGGTTTCACTAAAACTTTCCCTTTAGGGCTATTTCAAGGCTTCCCAGCAGCACACACAGAATTAGATTTTCATGTTCAAAGGGTCTCTAAGGAGGCAAAATCAAATTATGCAACAGAACAGAAAAATTAGGGAGTTCTGGGAAAGGAATGAAGGCTGTGAGAGGATAACAGAAAACAGAGTGGTCTGGGTTTGGAGTTTTATGGGTTTGTGTGGCAGTCTGAAGTCCGTGAGTTGCTTGTAGATGTTTCTGTATCTCTTTTTTCTCCTCCTAATGCATTCCTCTCCCCAGGGTGTGCAAACCTGGTCTGTGAAATTTGGGGGACTTGTGACTCCTGTTTCTCTCGTGCAACTCTTTCCCGCTCTTTGCAAATGCAGCTTTCTTTCCCTGCAGTAACTCCAACATATCTCTTTGTGCCTGTAATCTAGGAAGAACAGGGCTTCTCGTAGTGGGGATGGGTGAGAAAATGATAGCAATAACCGTTTCTTGACCCTTCATATAGGTTTTCCCTAAGGGGTCCTTTTTAGTGCTTTATCAGTAGCAGAAATCTGACCAAGATGAAAATAGCCATTCAGTATAAGAAGAGCTAACCCTACCCTGCAGTGATCAGTAAATAAGCCTGTATCACATTCATTCCTGGATTGTCTAGTTGCATGGAAGTACCAGTTAGTTTATTCCAATAGTGTGTGTAATGAACTCTGACACTGACTGATCCTTTTTTTGAGTGATCAGAAGATCAGAGTATATAATATTTCCCACTTCTCTTTCATATTGGCATTAAATTCCTGTGATTTTCAGTCTATCTTAGGCTATTTCTATAAAATGCATCTAATGGAAATAATAGAACTCTTAGAACTCTCATTCTGCTTGTGTATTTTCCCCCTATCATTCAGTAATTATTTGGTATGGGTTTTTTTCCCTCTGTTCCTGAAATGGCTAAATACTGGTATGTTCTCCCTTCAGTGATTCAAGTGTGTTGAATTTCATTATTCATCTTCCTTTAGTTGTGTTGAAAAATTCTCAGTGACATTATGAGATAATACCCATAATATCAGTGGGGTTTTTTTCCTTTAGAAGATACACTGACATTTTTCTGTGACTTTTGTCTTCATTCACTTTTATTGGCTTGTAAGGCCACGACTAATGTGTGTTACCTGCTTTCCTGTGCCGAGCATTGCTGCAGTTCTTCGCTTTTTGCTCCAGGGGGCAAGAAGCGCTTTATTCTCTGGTACAGCAATTCTGAGATTTAAAATATAAACGTAGGGCAGCCACCATGAAAGATGGCATCATAAATAGAGAGCAAAGACTTGTAGTCTGCTTCCTTTGTCTATGCAAATACATAGGAATAATAGTCTTTCACAACCCACACTCTGCAAAATTAACCCAATCCTTTTAATAATCAGTGTGAGAATATTGGTTGCTATGACAACACATTCTGTGGTACTACTTGAGTGTCAAAATAACCTAATGAAATATCGTGCTAAGAATGTTTCAAAATTGACTTTTAAAATAAAAAGTAAATAAATCCACCTAACTGTAGAAGATATGGCTAGATTCATGAAATCTGCAACAAGGGAACAACCATTTTCTAATCAAGGGGAATCAGACTAGTGGAGATAGTGGATATATTGTGTTTCTTATCTTCGATGAGCGAGCTGACATAGAATTTAGAAGTATTTTCTCTGCTTAAATTAATGGTATACCAACCACATCTGTGTTAAGAAGTTACAGCAAGAGTCAAAAGTTAAATGATCCTCAGATGTCACACAATTTAAGTCAGTGCCTGTCTGTGTGGTGCCTTTGCTTCTCTTACAGTTTCCATCAGCTTGTGTTCATCTTGAGAACTGCTGCTCTTCCTGTACTTCTTTCCCCTCTACTTTTCTTTCACTTCTCCATTCCTTTCCTTGCAACAGACTCCATGCATTTCTTTATTCTGTTGCCTAAAATAATCCACACTTAACATGTTGGGGTTTTGAAAATTATTTTTGTAGGGGCTCACAGCAGTGTTTTAGAGTTGAGATTACCACTAGATTAATAGCTGTCGTCAGCCGTTGTCTCAAACAGCGTTATTTTGGTCGGGCAAAAATCCAGCCACTTCTGAAAGAAGCATTCTTAAAGACAGCATTTAGTATCTGAGCATCAGGTGTGATGCTCAAGCAACTGTCAAGCAGGCTAGAACAGCTATTCCCTACTCCAGTATAAATGTGGGCAAAGAATTAAGGCATAACATTTACTTTTTTTTTTTTACTTGTAATAATTTTTGTTTACGTGAGATTTTAAAAATCTTTTATTAATGGGTTAACTTTCCTTCTTCTTCTCCTGAAATTAATAAAAGTTACTACTGTAATTCAGTTGGGGTGGACTATCCTGTGTAGCGAAATAACATAAATATATGGGAACTGTTCTGTCTTTCTACTTTTCTGTCATAGAAAATTAGGAGACTGGTTTAAGCAAAAATCAGCATTTCCCCACTTATCACTCAGACCACTATGTAAGTCACAATGTTCACGTCTGAATGACTTTTTTTGATACCTTTCATTCCTTCCAGACAGTGAAACAAAATCAGACAGGTCATTTTTAAATATGTTTTTTGCCTACAAAATAAGCTAACACATTTATTGTTGGTAAATACAAAATAAAAATCAAACCCTTATATTTTGATTGATTTAGTCCTTTTTTTTTTTTTTTCTCCTGCAAAAACCTTGGACTTGTCCAGGCAAACGTAGTACAACTGTACTTTTTTGAACTCAGTAAAGGACTACTGAAATGAGATCCCCTCCACTTATATTGTTTCTTTCTCGGGGATAGTGTTTTATTTTTTTAAACATTAGTTTTTGTTCACTGTGGAATATCCTAAACTTAATGATAGTACAGCAAATTTTAAAGTAAAATGAAGTAAAAATTGCCAATTTCTCAATAATAAAGACAATAAATGCATACTTTTACTGTATATTATTATGTTCACTCATCTTTAAAGTAGAATCGCAGATAGCTCAATATGCACCTTCCTTAGAAAGTGTGATTTTCATACAACATTTTAACAGTTGAGTAGGAACCTTGTATTAAAACAGCAGTTTTAATCTTTTGGAATTTATAAGTGGGACATTCTTAAGTTCTTTTCCTTAAGTAAAAGGAAATTTCTTTGCAATATATCGGTGTATTTAATTCAAATGTATTTGTTTTTATGCCCAGAGGCCTTCTTCAATGCGTTTATCACCAAGGGAGGAAGATGATGATGATGCAGGTGAAAATACTTGTGGTCCTTCAGGTTTATGGGAGGCATTGACACCTTGTAATGGATGCAGGAATCTCGGATTTCCCATGCTTACACAGGTATATATTTACCTTCTCATCATAAAACTTAATAGCTGCTTAATTTTTGCCTTAACTCTTGCAGTCATGTCTAGTCTTGCCTGATTCCCTTCAAAATTGTTACCTTCAATTTTCATTTTAATGTCAAAATCTGGTTAAATCTATTAAATGTTGAAGTTTGGTCATCTTGACGTAGTACTTAGCCAGATGAGTTTAATATTGAGACTGTTTGCTGTTACCACTATTTTAGACATCTAGTTGCCGTGTTGGATAGCTTTCTTTTCCATCTGGAAAGAAATTTGAAATCATATAGTTTGCTTTTGGAAGAGTACTCAGCTTCTAATTAATATAATAACATCTCAACTACTTCCTTTATAGAATTGAGGACATTGTGCTTAACTCAACTGATGTAAGAATATAGCCTAAGACATCTCTTTGAAGATTAGACAAATTAAAAAAGAGGTCCCCAAACATTTTCAAATGCTCATGATAATACAGAAGAGAATATGTAAAAGTGGGTAATAAACTTGGGCCTAAGTCGCAGCAGTTCTCAGAGCAGACCAGCCTGCAGTGCCCACCAAAGCCTTCCAGCAGCTGTGTCCTGAACAAGTGATACTGTATCGCTGTGGAACAGGATGATGCTTATTGCAGCTTCTAGGGTCTCCCTTGTTTTCTCCCTTCGCTATAATTTAGTACTTTCCTTTCTGTAACGTTTTTCCTCCGCTTTTTTTGTAGTATGGAATGAAGACCTGCCAAATTTCTGTTTAGCAGTCTGGTTTTTTTCAGTTGCATCCTTACTTGGCACTGCATTTAAATAACTTTGTCAGATTCTTGTGTACCAGATTGGAACTACATATCCTGTCTCACCACACTTTATACAGTGTTGCTTTCATACCGTGACTGTTCCTTTTATTCCCTTTAAGTCTCATGGGACTTGCACCTGTTTGAAGTCAATGTTAAAGCTTTCCCTGCAGTCAGTGGAAACAGGATATGGCAGCTAATGTGCTTGAATAACAATGAGCACTGCCCTGCCTTTTTGTAAGGAGCTTTTATATTCCTTTCCCTTTCAGTAGCTGTTTTCTACTTCATACTATCCATCATTTTAGACATTTGGCAAAGTAGAGAGCTGTCGGAATTATCCTGATTTACAATAGGAGTGCTACAGTTACTAATTCCTCATTTTAAAGCATTTGTTTCAACACATATTTCTTGAATGGAACTTTTCTTATTTAAATATGTATCACCTATGGTTTAATTATTACTAAATTTTCTTATGATGAAAATATATTTTGATGTGATTTCCTAATTTTAAGAAATGTTTTTGTTCTCCTTGTTTGTTTTTAATGTAAGATATATGTAAAAGGTGTTATGAAACTGAGAAATGCCCTTGAAAAATAGAATCAAGCTAACTTGGTTGGTTGATTTCTTTTTCCTGTATATAAGGAGAGATTAATTTCAAGAACAATATAAGTTCTAAGTTGAATTAGTTTTATTCATTGTACTTAAATTTTAAACTCAACCTTACGATACCTCATCTCCCTTGCTTTCAGAACTAATTAGCTTTTTAGTTATGGGTACAAAAAAGATTTTTTTAAAGATATTTATTATGTGTTCATTCATGATATGGCAGATTGCCTTTCTAGATTGTTTCTATCCATAAAAATTAAAGACAGAGATAGTTTAGTCTTCTGTTGATTTTATTTCTATGAGAGAAAGGAAAGAAATAAGGTAGTGAAAAATTTCCAAATTAAAACCCAGTGAATTTAGTTTATAAAGCATTGCCATCACTGTATGCAGTCTTTCAAGCTGTTAACTAATCTGTTGGATCTTTCACATTTACTTCAGAACGCAGCAGAGAACATCTTGTTCTAAGGGGTTGAGAACACAAAGTATATGCTTCAATTTTTGGATTAAGAACAGTATGTTGAATTGGTCTAAAAAATAGGATAGATGCTATGTGCAACAGCAAGTTTTAGGTAAAAGTACAAAAATGTGTTTCTTATAGTCATGTGAGTGCACTAACATACCAGAAAGTGCAGACTTCATCATGAAGAAGCAATGAGATAAGGGTACTTGACATCGTGTCTTAAAACCCATACTCTCCTTAAGAACCAAAAATAGGGAAGAATGTCTGTCAATTACTCTTGAACACAAATGACAAGTTCATTTTTACACTGCTCCTTTATTTTAAAATAGATTTCACCATTCTATAAATATATTGTGTTTGCACATCAAAGGTGAGCAGACGTAAAAATTGAATCTTGCTTTGTATACAGAGAGACACAATGATAAAATGCAAGTGAGTTTTAGGTGAGATTATGAAAACGTCCATCTTTGATATAGTGAGCTAAGAGTTTTCAATGTGCCAAAGAAAGAGGGCAGTTATCTCCTTGGCAAACTTGGTTTCTTCATTGCACTCATGGAAAAAAGCTTATCTGGAGGCACTTATGTCATGCAGTATGTCATTGCTGTCTGTACTGTGCTGGGAAATGTCATTTTAACAAGGGCTGTTATAGAAAGTTCTATGTAAGTTATTCTGCAGATATCATTTCTAACCTGACATAGCAGTAATACAGATATTCTCAGAACAAGCAGCTCTCTTTCACAGTCTCACAATTGGTGAAGTCCTGGAAGAGCTTGATGGAAAATCTTTGTATCTTTTAAAAATGTCAGGGTTTTAGAAAGTACCCAGTTCTACATCAAAATGGACCAAACAACTAGCTTCATCCACCAAAAAAAAAAAAAAAAAAAAAAAGAGAAAAAAAATCCAGAGAGCAAGGATACACAGCTGGATTTTTGGAGACTGAAGTTTAAACATATCCTCTTACTTTAGCAGAGGGGTGAATTTCATTTATAGCTTATGATTTGAGGTTAATGTGGAGGCTGTTGCTTTTTTCTGGAGGTAATCTTTGGTCTTGGGCAGAAATTCCATCCTTGCTAGAACTGATGCACATTTTTGTGAAAAATGTTGGCTTCCAGAGATGAGTATTTTACATCTGAAAAATAACCTTGTTTTCTGGCTGTCAGTCAGTACAAAAGAAAAACCTTTTTATTACCTACATAACTGAATAATTATCTTCTACACATTCCAGAATTTCCAGTAATCTTAAGTACTAGCATGGTAAAAATAGTTTTAAAAACTTTCAAAGATGTAAAATCTCAAAAGTGCTTCTAAAGAACTCTTGAATTCTAATATTGCAGGCGCTGTTGGAAACAGATTACTCTGAAATGACATGTCTGTTAAACTGAGAGAAATCTTTTGTAATGGTATGATAGTACTAGAGTCTCTTCCATGGATCTCTAGTTCATGTAAAATCTTTCTACAGTAACTAAAAAGATTTTTCATGCTTCAGTGCTTCATGCTTCACTTCTGCCAATCATAAATACTATTGAATATCCTTTCTGTCCAAGAGGTAGAATAAAAGAATATATTTCATATATAGTTTTCTTTCAGGGTAATCACAAAAATAGGAGTTGTGTGGCAAAGTGTGTTTAGCTGGAGAGATTTCACTATACTGTAGATAAGTATGGGAAAGAAAATGGGGATATGATCCTTAAAAGAAGTTTTTGAGCAATGACTACTAATGATGAAAAAAGCTGGAAGCGTTACAGTGTCATTACTGTTGACCGTTTTCAAATGAGGACAGTTAGTCAAGAAACTGATAATTCAGTGAAATATAGAATAGGAAAGTTTAAAGGCAGAAATAGCATAATCAGCTTAATATGTGCATGGGTTGGTAGTTATTAGGATGTCCAAAGAAACACAGTCTGCCATGACAGAGTTCTGCAGATAATTGGGTTGATAAAGTAGCTTTGGTTAGTCAGCCGATGGAGTTAAGTTTCTGTCCTCACACTGGCAAGAAGAGCAAATTTAGGTTGAATAAGGTTATGATTTTGATAAACTTGAGTTGGAATTCTGGTCCCTGTTCTGTGTTTGTATATCTTTATAACAGTTTATGTGGAGTGCCATAAGCTGAAGACTACGCTTATGGTCATCTTTGGGTGCTGCTTTTTCTACTTGTATCAAACTTTTTTTGGCGTAGTAAAGTGATTGAAAATGACCCCCTGTTCAGAAAAGCCTATAATATAGGGTCTGTGGACGTGAATCTCTAAAACAAAATTTTATGATATGTCTGGGGGTACTCTTAAGTTCTGTATTACTTAGTGCAAGAGAGGTGCTTCACAGAATCACAGAATGGGTAAGGATGGGAGGGACCACAACGGATCTGGTTCAACCTCCTTGCTCAAGCAGGGTCATCCTAGAACACATGGCACAGGATTGCATCCAGGTGGTTCTTGAGTATCACCAGTGAGGGAGACTCCACAACCTCCTGGACAGTCTGTCCAGTGCTTGCTCACCTGCACAGTCAAGTTGTTTCTCATATTCAGGTTGAATTTCCTGTGCATTAGTTTCTGCCCATTGCCTCTTGTCCTGTTGCTTGGCACCACTGTGGAGAACCTGGCCCCATCCTCCTGGGGGGCCTTCAATAGTTATAGACACTGATGAGGTCCCCTCTCATCAGTAATTTATTCTTGACACTGAACAGGTCCAACTCTCTCAGCCTTTCCTCATAAGAGAGATGCTCCCAGTCCCTTAATAATCTTTGTTGCCCTCTGCTGGACCCACTCCAGGAGCTCCATGTCTCTCTTGTACTGAGGAGACAAGAACTGGACACAGTGCTCCAGATGCAGAGCAGGATTCTTCTAGATGGGGCAGGATCATCTCCCCTTCCTTACCTGTTAGCAATGCTCTTCCTAATGCAGGCCAGGATACCATTGGCATTTTTTGGCCACAAGGGGACACTGCTGGCTAATGGACAACTTGTTGTCCACCAGAACCTTCAGGTCCTTCTCTGCAGAGCTGCTTTCCAGCAGGTCAGTCCCCAGCCTATGCTGGTGCCTGGGGTGGTTCCTCCCCAGGTGCAGGACCTACATTTGCCTTTGTTGAACTTCAGACAATTCTTCTCTGCTCATCTCTCCAACCTGTTGAGGCCCTTCTGAAGGCTGCACAGCGTGCTGGG